AACAAATGTCATTTTCTATTTGCCCTCATACTGCACAGTCCTTCCCATCCATCACCATGATGGGTGGACACCTATTCCCACCTCCTCCCATCCTGAGTATCCAACCTGTGAGCTGCATCCATCAAAGCTCCAGATGCCTCTGGAGGCCCCTGAGATCTCTGTAAAGCACTGTGGGCTCCAGTGGGGCTTGCAATCTGTCAATACCTCGTACGCGATACTCAGCACCTCAGCTTCAAGTCACTTGTCCATGATGTAAGAGGGAGCTTAGACCATTATCACCCAGCTCCCGGTCTGTTCTGCAACGACAAGTCCATCTTTCCTCTTGTTTAATCATGCAAACAACATGGGAATATAAAGGATATGAAAAAAAGATGGCATAAAATACAACTGTATTTTTACAAAATGTTCTTGTAGCTAATATAATACACAGTCCAATGCACTTTACAAGGCAGGCCCTCTAAAACCTGCTACCAAACACCAGAATTCATATGCTCAGCTGGTATAAATCATTGCTGCTGATTTACACCAGCTGAGAACCAGGTCACAATTGCCTAATTAAATAGTTTCTATTTGAGCAAAAAGCTATACTTCTAAAAAGTGTAACCGTGAATTACTTTATATAGCCCATTGATGGAAAGAGAGAGAAAGTGAGAAAGAAAGCTCAAATAAGAGAGAAAGAGCAAGAGAAAGTGGAAGAAAGGGAAGGGAAAGGAGAGGAATGGAAAGAAAGAATCAAAGGGAAAGAGAAGTAAAAAGAGAGAGAAAGAAATTTTTTTTTTTTTTTAATTTATTTTGGGAGCTCAATTCCTTTCATTGGGTAAGAATGGGGAAGTTTGGGAAACCCAGACTAAATCACTCACAATGATAACAGGGTGATACTGAGAGCAGTAAAACTAATTTATTGGGCTGAGTTTATCTGATTCCAGGGAAAGTGAGTACTGCTGAGTGCAGCTCTGACTGTGCTTGTGTCTGACAAGACACACAGCTCTGATGCGAAATTACATTAAGCAGATGTAGCCCATTAAGAAGCTGAGTTTGAAAATGTACTTTATCCTGTCAAGGAAAATTCTAGTTGAAAACTTTGGGCCTTTAAAAAAAAAAAAAAAAAAAAAAAAACTGCAAGAAGATGTTCTATTTGGGGTTTTATTGCTTTAATCTTTTTTTGTGTCAGTCCTAGTTACAGGGTGATGATAAATATAAACCCAACTCCACTGGATTTCTAACATAACTCCATTACCTAGCCTCAGCTAGAGAGGTGAAGTCCCTTAGCAGGAAACCTACAAACAGAACCAGTCCTGGATTCAATTATAATACAGAATTAGGTGAGGCTGACCAGATCTCAGAGGCAAACCAGGTAAAACATGTATCATATGCTCTTACCCCAGACCAGATTAAAAAGTAGAACAACAGAGGAGGGGCAGCCAGTTCACACCTTCCTCTCACCCATCCATCAGGAAGATGATGCTGGGTTAGCTCAGATGTAGGTATCTCCATCACTGTCACCTGAGATTATTTTCTCCACAGGTGTCTCTCTGCATGAGAACACCTGAAAAAATGTGGGATATGGTGCGGAAGGAAAACTTGGATGGGATTAGAGATCTGTGGAGTTGCTTTTGGTTGTGCTCAATGAGGGCGAGAATTTCCTTTAATAAAAACTTTGATTAATTCCCAGACACAATTTCTTTATAACTGTCCTACTTATATATCCACATTAATTGTAAATCTGGGAAGGAATAATTGGTATGGACTAAAAAAGGACAAAATATACAATAATATATTAGTCTCCGAGGCACTTAATTCTCGCTGTTGAATTTAGGTGCCTACAAGGCATTTTAGAACACCTTCCCCTTGAGTGTTGATTTTTTTTGTTTTGGAGTATTTCAACTCATTCTCCATGATTCCTTTATTCTCATGTATTTCATACAGTACACACACCACTGAGAGAAATGTTCAAAAGTACCAGCAGGATATCAGCAACAAGAAAGAAGGTCAAACTCGTTAGACCAGCCAAGAACATTTTGAGGAGAAAAACGATGACGTTGAAAAGATGATCAGTGTATGTCTATGTAGGAAGATCTCTTAACTTATCTAAGTCTCCTAAAGGTAAGCCAGGGCACTTAGGCTATTAACCAGACTACACAGAGTAATGGAAAATATTTTGCAAGGAGAAATCCTCTACCAGCAATTCAGTGTTCATGTAAAACACCGTTACTGTATTGCGTTCATTTTCTTCTTTGAAGTTTCTTTGTTTACATTTTATTATCTGGAATAACCCCTTTAACGGTTGGGAAAAAAAAAAAAAAAAAAAAAAAAACCAAACAAAAACCAACAGCTTACTTTGTACCAGAGCAATTAAAACTACAAGTCAAGTTCAGGGGCCTTGAGTCTGGAATTTGATTGCAACCACAAAGTGGACAGTGCACTTAAATAGTTTGATTTTCTTTATAAACTCTGTGAAAAGTAACTTTTTTAGTGTTCTTGAAATTATCTGCAAATCCCAAGATGAAAATGTTCCCTCTAATGGAGAGAAGAGGAAAAAGTAAATCTCACCAGCTACATTTATATGTTTACAATGCTTGATTTCATCCATTGAGTTTCATTGTTTTATTTGGAAGTATCTTTAAGCAATTTATGTAAAATAATTGATGCCAGCTGTAATCACTTTGGGCATAGGAGATATATAGGATCATGCTCTGATGCTAATAGCCCTGATATGCTTAACAACTAATTAGCTTGGTTTATAACAAGACCAAACATCAAAACAGAAGGATTTCTATGACAAGCATCAGGCTAAAGATAAATCTCATCTGACTTCTGACATCTGCTCTGTGGATGTCTAGGTGAAAAGGGTCACACTAACTCCAGTGGACACCATTCATCTTATCCCAATCCCCTCTTTGGAGGCACTCCAGGTTTCTAGATCTCTAGAAATACCTTTATTGACAGCTCAGGGGGCTGAGGACAGCTTGCTCCATGACCTATGCAATGTTAGAGGAGGTTGATTCCTCCTGGGGTAATTCATTCAACAGCATGGGACTTTTCATTCAGGTCCTGTTTAACTCAAAAACTTCTCTTGGTGATTTGGGGCTGTAAGGACCAGATCTGGAGGTCTGACCTGGCCTATGTATGTCGGTGGCAATTATGAGGCACAAACAGCTCAATGGTTTTGCAGAGCTCATTTTTGAGCATCACCCAGTTTGTTAGTCCACAGTCTACCTGGAAGAGCCATTGGGACCAGTGCTGTGGAGGGAAGAACGTGTCCTTGAGTCCTTGCACCACCAGATGCAGGGATGCAATTCGATTGCTTAAATGTCAGTATTATTTGAAATGCCCTTGGGTGTCCCCTTAACGTTCTTCTTCCGGGGACTCCTTCAGGACCAAGGTCACTCTGAAGTCCTGTGCAAAGCCTCAGATGGCACCAGATTCTTCACTGCAGACTGCTGAGAAGAGTTATGTGTGGGGGTCAGGGTGAGCTGGGGCTGCCTTAAATCAGCCAATTCTTTGCAACCATCAGCTCGACGCTTTTATGTCACGCTGAGGGCTGCTCCTCAAGTGTGGATACACAGGGAGTTGCTAGCCATCATTTCCCACTTTTTCCCAAATGCAGAGACTTCCAGCTCGCACCCCCCGCAGCTCGCGTGCTGCCTGCAGCGAGGACGGAAGCACCTGCGGAGGTGAGCACCGAGGTGGTATTTTAATCTGTCTGAGCCAGATGAGGAGAGCAGCTCTGGACAGAGCAAGAATTTAGAGAAGAGGAAAAAAAAAAAAAAAAAAAAAAAAAAAAAAAAGCAGTTTTTCTGCCTGAGACTGGCCCTGGTCAACATGTGCAGCACTTTATAAAATTAATTGAGTATTGAGCAGGTAGCGAAGTGGTAAGTAGCTGCAGGTGGTGTGTGTTTTCAGTGTCTGCACAAAGCAGAGAAAGGTCTGGATCCTCCTTTGCATGATCAACCACCTGGACCTGGAGGCATTTGATTTGAAATATGCCCACCAGTTGGTTTGCTTTGGTGATGCAGTTGCTGTTATCAATGACTTTTATAATGACCCAGATTATAGCATCTCATCCGAAATTTCAAGCTACCTAGGAATATCCAAAAATAGCTTGAAATATGAGAAACAATGGGGAAGGAAGGAAGCCCCCTGGAATGATGGACTCAGATCTCTTTTTCCTCTAAAATTCAGTATGAATTTCGAGAAAGTAGGCAATCCTCAAGGATGTTGAAGTTGAGCAGTCACACACTCCTAGAACTTCAGACAAATGGGGTTGTGAGCACCAAACTTTACCTGTTTTTATTTTATAGTCCCACCTTTGCTCCAGCCTGGGTTCATCCTTCATCACCACTGAGCAATGTTACAGACCTGATCCCAGACTGAGTGAATTTGCGGTCCAGAGCTAGAAATTCTGAAAGAATTTCAGGTCTCCATTTTAAAAAGCCCATGTTTGTCAGCAGTTACCACTTAGAAAGATCTGAGTTATCGATAACTGGCATTTATAAGATTCAATTCTCCAAAGTTTTCAGCACTTTGGCCCTGATCCAGAAAAACACTTATACACATGTATAGCCTTAAGCATTCAAGACATCCCCCACTGAGTTGTCGTTGTGCTGTATGAGTGGGCAGAGTCCCAAAATAACTCAACCCACGGCAATTTTTAGGTCTGAAGCTTGTCCCTGCATGGATGGCAGCACAAGAGCCCCAGGACAGTGGGAGCCCAGGGCTTTCTCCTAAACTCTGCAGACTTTGCAGCATGTCCCTTCACCTTCCAGCTCCTGGAGTCATGCAATTACATGATACCCACCTCTGCATTTTTATATTCTTAAGAGAAATTTCAAGGCCATGTGGTTCTGGTGAATACCTTGAAAAATTCCATTAAAAAGAGCAAAACCACTCCACACAACCCAGAAAGGATCTTTAAAATAACTCATTTCATCTTTACAATGCAGACAAAATACAGTCCACTCACTCTTAACAACAAGCAAATAAAAACGATCCACAATGCATACCTATGTTATTATTTTTATTATTATTGTTGCTCTTATAATTAGAAAATAAAACTAATGCTGCCTCCCTGAATAGCAGGTAACTTTTGCTCTAGATGAATAAACCACAGCTCTGCTGAGATATTTAATCAAACTTTGTCTGTCTGATGAAACTGGTCCTGAGGGGAAAACAAAACAAAACAAAACATAACATGTTGTACATGTTAAAATAATTAATCTCAGGTGGATTTTAAGTTTCCTGTTCTTTCTCCCCTTCTCCCAAATCCTCCTTTCTGCTCCGTCTCCCAAGTGTGGAGGACAAATTCATTCCTCTCTGTTTGCTCTTGGGAGCAAAGCGATGGTGCTTCACCACCCTCTGGTCAATGCAGAGAAGGCAAATCCTTCGTGGTGGGCTGAGGGTGTTAAGGACAAGCAATCCCAGGGCTGAATTTTCCTCTCACTCCTCACATCCCCAAGTACCTCCAGAGCTTCCTCCCAGCATCTTCCCAGAGCAGGTAGCCAGAGCTGGGCAGTGCAAGCCCAGCTCTCTTGGAGGATGCTAATGGGTGTCTACAGGGATCTGTTTTTTAGCAGGAAAAGGGATGGTCCTTCAGGGACTCTTATCACTTCCCTGACAAAGGAGCTTTTAATTGTATTCAGATTTTTGCCTCCTATCCCCACCCCCGTTGCTCTCAGCAAGGGCTTTTTTAGCAGCACATGAAACACTCGTGGGCTGTCTGCTTTAGCATGATTAAGATACTTCCCGTTTTGCAGACTAAACTAAACAATCGGGTGGGTTTTCTATAATGAATGTCGTTTGCTTACCTTAGGGAGCAACCCAAATGATATAAAACTGGAAGGGGGTGAGGATGGCGGGGAATTCATCAAAAAATATAAAGCCAGCTGGATGCATGCAAGGTCTAAATACTCAGATTTGGAAATAACATTAAGTCCAAACTGTTTTATTAAATCACAGATATTTTTTCAAATGAATAAATGCTACAAAGCCACCGACATAATACGTTTCAAGATAGCTTGCCTTTTTCCCTCAGGGGTAATAGTGTAATATTTTGAAATAATAGAATTTATGGGAATATATCCCAGATGTATTTCCCAGCTAGTGTAAATCAACAGAGCTGTGTGATAGGATATGGAGCTATACCAAATTATACCAGCTGTTAGGATCTGGTAGGGCATTTTATAAGAGAGGGAATTGTAGCATCACCTGACAGAGACATTCACAATAACAAGAGCTATTTCATTCAGAAGCTGAAAGGCCTCGGTGTTTTGAAGCAAAGCCTTGAAAACTGGTTGCTGAGGGGCTGGGGGAGGGAAGGAGACTGGTACATGAAGGTCTTGCCCTGCCTTCAAGGATATTTTTTTTCCTTGCAAAACTGGTTTGTGGCAAATGTTCTCCTAAATATCTTTCAGACCACACATGCACAGAAAATAATTTGGCAGCTACATTTTGGACTCCTGTTGCACCAAGAATTGCAGTTGAGAGCAAGGACACTTCTCTCTTCTGACTTCTCTGTGGTTTGCTGCTGATGCCAGGAGGAAAGCATCAGAGCCAAGTTGCAAGGAGCAAGATGCACTATGAGTTGTTCCACCAGTATGGTCTCATGTTATAGACTCTCTTTTTATTCCTAGTTTGTATTAAAAGGAATAAAAGACAGAAAATGCTGTCTCCTTCTCATAGAAAGCCATTTCCTGAAAAATTAGAAAATGCCAGAGCATCAGGAAGGAGATGACCCTAATTTGCTGGGTGAAATAAGGCTGTGTAACAAGGGAGGCTGTAGTTTATCAGACCTTGACTTGTGCATGACTCCCATCGTGGTGAAGCACATAGCCCTAGGCCTATTGCTAATGCAAGGTGCAGCTGCTCCAGAAACAGGCCTTGAAACTTAGGAGTTATAGAAAAAGTGGTATCCAACAGCCTAGGACATGGGCTGAGGCCACACAGAGTCTTAGCTCAAAAAAGCAAAATTTAGTTGAAGCCTATGATGGATTATCAAGAGGAGCCAGCAGAAAATTTGAGCCTGGATCCTCCAAATTGCAAACATCCAAACATTGCAGCCAATTCAGTTCAGCATCTTCAGTAAGAGGCAGTTGTGGGCAGAGGCAGACACAAAACATGAGCTACCACCGTGGCTAAAGGTCTGCTGAGGGGTCATTTCCCACCTGGTGGACTTGCAGATGCCTGGTAGGCTTACTCACATCTTTTCATGCTCTGCAAAGTTATGGTTCCTTCTGACATGGCAAAAGCAGCTGAGGAACATGAGTCTGACACTGGAGGAGTGAAATACAGCTAAAAACAATGTGCATATAGAACATTTCTTCCATCTTGCTATTTTTTTGCCAAGAAGAAAGACTTAGAACATCAGCAAGGGAGCAAGAAAAAGAATCATTACAGAATAGCATTGAAATGCTCAAATTTTTCTTCAGGCAGAACATCCCTGCCTTGCTGGCTTCATCAGAAACTGGAAATAAAACTCCTTAGAAGAATGCAAATAGACCATTTCTTTACGTATCACATGAAGCTAAATTCTGGCTTTGGAGAGCAGCGGGATTTGTGCCACCAGCCTGTCTACATGTCAGCCTAAAGACACCCACTGCTCATCACACCGCACTGCAGAGATGTTTTAGTCCACCAGCTTTTATGGGGTGACAATAACACAAACCACTGACAAACTACCAAAGGCCTCTTTTTGCATGCTCATGGACGGGGGAGGGAATGAGGCGAGGAGACCAAACCCCTTATAGCAAAGCAAAGTATCTGAGGAGAACAAAATATCTCTAATTTTGCTCTATAACTCATGATTCTTTTCTCCTGCAGCTCCCCAGGGCTGCTCAGAAACGTGTCAAGAGGCAGCTGCCTCCTAGAGAGTGGCTGGGTGGGGAAAAAATGGGATTCAGAGGAAGACTGCAGTGTTATGGATGTATTTTCCCCTAGGAAAGTGCCACTGTCCCTCCACATTTGCGTAGGAGTGATTTTCTGGCTGCTTACAGCACTTCACTTGGGGAATGGGGTGCCCAAAAATGATCTGAAGGACCTCACAGGCTCTACTGTCTTCTGCTCCTGGAGCAGACATCCTTCTCCAATGTCACCTTTCCTAACAGGGACACAGGACTAGATGCCCAATTAAAAAAAAAAAAAAAAAAAGCACAAGAAAAGAAACTTAACCTAAGCTAAAACCTCTCCTGCACAACAACTCCTCTCTACATGCTGGAGTGAGTAGCAAACCACCCATGGGAGGTATTAGTCACGTTTGGTTTTAAGCTCCTTGGGAGCACTGGGATATTTTACCAATGAGAGTGACTGCTGATATAAAAAGCAAAACAAGAACGGTGACTCTTCCTTTCTACAAGTGCTCTATTTTGTTGTCTTGAGTGTAATCTTGGCTAATTCTGCTCAAAATGAAGAGGCTGGGGAGACAGGGAATAAAGGAACTTATCTATCCCACGCCAGCAAGTACCTCGAGCCATGCTCTTCTCCTGTCCTTGGGAGGAAAACCAGGGTTGCTTTCCAAGTAGGAGAGTGAAACATAATAATCTAACATTTTGCTGTTGCACCAGTAACTTCAGCATTTATTTCATACTATTGTTAATGCTTGTTTATAATATATAGATATATTTATGTAGGAAGTAGAGTAGACGAAAGCACAAGATATATCTTATAAATATTTCTGTATATCCGCATACAAAAGAAAATATGTACAGCCACAGATAGTGGTTCTCTGCTGTGTCAGGGCAGGGCCACGTGAAGGACTGGCATGTTCCCATTCCCTTCTGCTGGGAATAGCTGCTGCCCTGCACGGCTGCACTCCCTACAGCCGGGACTAGACCTTCTCCACTCTCTGCAGTTTCTTGGGGCTGGTTTGACAGTTTTGTTGGGGGAAGAGGCAGCGGCTTATTTCCCTAAGGACTTGATGGCCCAATGTGGCAGAACATTGGTGACTAAGGGCATCACACCCAAAGGGCAAGAGAGAAAAAAAGCAGGAGCTGGGGTTTTTTTGTTGTTGTTGGTTGGTGTTTTGTTTTTGTTTTTGTTTTTGTTTTTTTACTTTCCCACTGGATTTTGACTTCAGCTTGTTATTTTATCCTAACAGCTCCACTACTATCTCATGGACAATATAAAGTCCTTCCCAGGGTACCCTACTCTTACTACCTCTGGGATCCCAGGGGATTGTTTGCATGGCTGAATTTGAAACCCCATCCAGCCTGAACAAACCAAGGACAGCTTTTCCTGCAGCAGTAACTCCAAAGTCGCAGACCTGTGTAAAAGAAAGGTCAAAATGAGTTGTTCGTTTCAGGGGATTGACCTGAAATCTTTCCACCTTTATCATCCAGAGTGGATGCTTCCCTGCTAAAAAATTAAGTCTTTGGCAACAAAGGCAGTTGTTGAAAAGTTGTAGCATTTTCCCTTCTGGGATGGTCCTAAGGCAGACTCTACCTGTGCTAGAAGGCATAGGCAGGTGTGAGCCTTAGTTATTTTCAAACAAGAGTTGTTTTTCTTCCCCGGGGAAAGTTTCTACTTTTGTTTCTCAAAATACTAAGGCACTTGATGGCCGGACGTCACTGGCAACCATAGGCTATATTTTGGAAGAAGATACCATCCCAAATGAGTTTTTGTCTTCTCAGAGAGCATTTTATTGGTGGGGGGAAGCATTTGTGGGTTGGTTTTTTTTTTTTTTTTAAGGGTCTTATTTTTACTGGTGTGATTGCCTTTTTTTTTTTTTTTTTCCCTCCTACCATCTTTCTTCAAGTCTGTGTCTTTACAAGATAAACGATGTCTAGTCGAGGAAATGTTTTCTCTTCTCTGAATAGTGCTGGGGTGCCGCTGGCGTCTCAGCTCCCGGGTGGAGAGAGGAGGGTTTTCATTTGCACACATATCTTTCGACAGTCCTCTCGCACTTTTTACAGGTCACATAGCAGCACCAGTGGTACTTGCAGTGGCATCGCTCCACCACTTTGTCCATGTAGGGGTTGTAGCCTCTGCCACAGCACATCAAGTCGCAACTGTCACTCCCGTTAGAGGTCTTGTTGCATTGCCTGGAAGAAGGAAAATGAGGTGAGCAAGTTCAAATCCCTGCAGGGCTTTCCCAAACCCCTGTCCTGCCGTGGTGCTGGGGTCTGACAGCTCTGCGAGGTGCCGGGTGAAGCCAGCACGGTTGCATCTCAGCTGCAGCAAGCCTGTGACAGGGGTGAGTACCCATCCAAGCATCCCTCTACAAGGGCAAGGGAGGCAGGGAGAGGCCCCAGGCTTCACTCACATTACCTGCTCTAATGCCCAGGATTGTGCTTGCTCTGACACCCAAAATAACATTAAACTCCTTTTCTGACTCTTAGCAGCCTTCAGGCTGCCTGTCAGCCAGGGCATGCAGGACCTAGCTCCCGTATAGTCAGACAAGCAAAGCTATCATGATACCTCCACCAAGGAAAAAACACACAGCACCTAGCAATCTGTATTCCCAAGCAGGTTCCAACGCTGTTTGAAAGGAGCTGGAAGATGATACCCTAAAGAACAAACACCGGTGTTTGTCCAACACTACCTAACCTGAAAAGGATGGAGGAAGAACCCTGCAGCCATGGAGTATTTGCACAGGCTCTGTGCCAATGATCCCAGGCTGGGAAAGCTCCTGAGCAGGCTGTTACAGCCACTATCCAGCCCTGAACCTACCAGGGAAATCACAAACGATGCTAGCAGGACTCTACTCTGCACTTTCCCCCTCCCCAAGCGTGTCCCAGCACGGCATGAGCAGCCAGGGACCTGGCCCTGCAACACCCCGAGTCCTGACCTAGGATCTGGCAGCACGGCAGGAGCACAGTGTAGGATGACAAGTGGCCAAGTATCACACGGACTTTCACTGCTTGTTTTGCTTCTGCTTTTAATTAAAGCCAGACTTGTTGGGATAAGTTGGCCATTGTGTGCCGTTCCCTCACTTTGTCTGCTTGCAAGTGGCTGGTTTGGGTTTTCAGAAATAACTCATGAATTGGGGAATCTCTTTCATTGATCCACTGATCATGGATCCACAGCCATTCTCAAAAACCAGCTATCTTCTTCTCCTAAAATACTCCAAGTTGCGTCACTGGACATGTGAGCACAACAAACATTGACTTTTGGATAAGAAGTATGTCCTAGCAATGCTGTTTCTCCATGGGCTGTAAAGATAGCCCAGGGTGGAAGTGTTCATGTCTGGTCAGATGCTTGACTGATCGCTAGAGCTGTAAGGTGACAGATCTCATTATGCATCCAACACCATAGGGTTGTGAACTTGATGGCCTTCTGAAACTACTTTAAGAAAGGCAGTTTGGAGAGTCAGGCAATAGCTGACATCACTCTGAAATCGTATTCTACATGGCTGTTTTGAACAGAAACACACTAAGGCTGGTTTGGGGCAGGGAAAAGAGAGAGGAGCATGAGTCGGACTCGAGCTGAGCACTCCATTAATAGATGAAAACAAATCCATGAGATTTATAGGAATTCCTGATGAGGTAATGCTTTAGGAGAAGTTGCGGGATTAATGAGGTGTTGAGATTTTGTTCTTGTTCTTCCTTTATTTTTTTCTGACTCAGGCAGGCCTCCTGTTTGTTATTTCTGACTCACATTCCTCTCCAGGTTCAGTGTTTAAAGGTCCGCCCCCCGCTCCCCCTCATTCGGGAGTGTGTGTAAATATTTACAAACCTTTGAAAGCCTCTACCGAAGCTGAAGTCTGCAACCACACTGAGCATGTTTGCCTAATGCTGAACCAAAGGCGTTGTTACTGCCCTTGAGAGCCGGGGCCCCTCCACCAGGAAACCTCCGAATGTCTCCTCATAAATGTATTAGTAAATGCATTAAATATTCGGAGCAAAGGTTCAAATATAGACGTGTTGACATTAGAAGAGGGGAGGGTATTTGACAACCTTACTCAGCTTCACTGGTGGATGGAAAGGTTGTTGCCCGGAGGTTCACCTAAGGAGGAAGGGGCATCTGCAGAAGCATGGTGATGGATGTGCAGTGCAGCCGTGCCACCTCATGCTGAGAGGCTCATTAAAGTGGCCAATAAAAGAAATATAGGCCCAGTCTGACTCCAATCTACCGCTGAGGACATTCACTCCCCAGATACTCAAAGCACCCGACAATCAAATTTACACCATTCAGACAGAGAGCAAAATTCTTCTACCTGTTGTACTGGGACCCGGGAATCTCCCTTTGCTTGTATCCCCTCCTGCAGTTTGCGAAACAAAAGTGGATCTACTAGGAGCTACACCTTTCCATAGCTGTCCCCATTCCACCCAGCATGAAATAAAGAAAGGAAAAAAATAAAATCTTATCAAAAAATCCCCAAGCTTCCCTCAGCTTTGGATCAAGGAACAGGGACATTCTGGATGGGTTGAATAGTCAACATAAAGCTCTTGACCCCATCCTGAACCTAAATAGGCTTCTAGGAAACTTTCCTGACAATGCCACTAACCAGAGATTGTGTTTTCTGCTTTAAATCCTAGCCCTGGATGAATTATTTTCATTTTTATTTAAGCAAGCTGAAACAGAGTTGGTTTCTCAGCTTTATCTATACATACAAAAAGCAAGTGGGGGAAGACAAAGGAGCCCAAAGACCAGAGTTTACCCACAGAAGCTGCCCCCGAGCATCTGCTTTCAGAGCCCACAGCTACAATCTCACCAGGCTTCCCGCTGATGGGTTAAGTAAAATCTCATTTGTTTTGGGCCTGGTCCAGCACAATTCCAGCAACTCAGAGAATTGCCCTCCTCCTGAGCCTCAGAGAGAAAATACAAAGGCAGGCGATTGCATCTTAACACAACACCGTAACCTCTAGAAGCACTTGGAAGACCGGTGAAAAATGATGCTTCAGCCGTAATCCCAGCCAAGGTCCTGGCTCAGGAACAGGCTTTCACATTGTCACAGTGCTTTTTGCTTCTTCATGCAAGAAGGGAGGAGGTCTGCCCTGCTGACTGGACAAATCCCACTCATATGCCTGTCCAAAATCTCCCCTTCCCAGTCCTCCTTTGCAGAAACACTGTGGTACATCATACAGCCTCATCGTGGGGGTGGCTCCTCAGCAGAGACTGTGAAGGACATCCCAGCACTCCTAAGAGTCTTCCCCCAGGTAGAGAGGGTAAGCCATCTCACAGCTACCTCCTGGGGGATTTTCATTTTAAAAGCTATGGGTAGACGTCACACTCCATTTCATTGTGGATCCCAGTTCACTCCTGTCCCATCAGCAGCTATAAGAAGAGATTTTTTGGTTGCCCAGCTGGCATCTGAGAGCCAAACTGAGGCCAGCTCTGTACTTTGTCACCCACAATAATGACATATGATGACAGGGATGGGCCCTATGTCCACTGGGGCCTCACTCCATCAGTGCTGTTGTTAAGTGGAAGAGACTTATGAGCACATAAGAAAAGTCATTCTGGGTCACAGCAATTGCCTGCCTGGCCCATTACTCTGCAATGGCTGTGGGACATGTTCTTCAGGGAGGAAAACACAAATCTGATCACTTTCTGTAGTCTGTCCCCTCATACCCCACTAGCACTTGGGCTGGTGTATTGGGCATGATGGAAGGTATGTTCCCTTGTGGGCATCCTGACCGTGGGTTTGTCTAATCTCTTTCTGATCTCAGGGAAACCATCTGCCTCCATAAACTCCAGTAGACACAAGTCCTAGCAGACAGTACTGCTGTGTAAAGAAGTAATTTATTTTTTCTCTTTTAATTCAAATTTCTATTCATTTCTTTAGTGCCCCTTGCTCTGGTAATGTCAAGTCATATAACAGTATATAAAAGAAAAAAAGAGAAAAATAATACAAATCGCCCAGAAGGTATGTAACACAACGGACATTGCTAAAAATATATCAAAGTGCACAGCTTCATCTAAGATTTTGAGGGCAGAATCTTAACTATTTTTAAATTGCTTTCTCATCCACAAAGAACAACTAGAGACTGACGCTGAACAACAGTATGAAAGAGAGTTATCAATAGTATATGTCAGTGAGGAGATGTCAAGGGAGATCCTGGAACAAGCCTGTATTTTCATTAATGAGGAGAAGAGAATGAGCTTAAAAATTGGTAGATAATTCTGGGGCAAAAGGAGCTGAGAGCATTTTGCAAGAGTGGATTAAAATGCAAAGTATGGAACACATTTTGAGAAAGATCCAGATAAATGTGGGAATGTTCCCAGGAGAGCCAGAGGAGCAGTTGAGAAAGTAGAAAAGGTTGAAGGAATTGGTTTAGAGAAGTTTGTAAGAAAAGGTGTCTTCCCATATATAAAAGATTATTGCAAACAGGAGAGAGAATATATGTTCTTTATATGCTGAGGAATGAGGACAAGAAATTATTAGTTTGGTTTCAGATCATCATTACTTTGAATTCAGGTTAAGAAATCATAACACCTGTGCTGGCAACATGGACAGTGGATTCAAGCACATCCTCAGCAAGTTCCCCAGTGACACGGAGCTGTGTGGTAGGGGGACACGCTGAGGGCAGGGGTGGCATCCCGAGGGACCCGGGCAGGCTGGAGAGGTGGGACCAGGTCAACCTCATGGAGTTCAACAAGGCCAAGGGCAAGGTCCTGCCCATGGGTCGGGGCAATCCCCAGCACAAATCCAGGCTGGGCGAGGAGGGGATGCAGAGCAGCCCCGAGGAGAGGGACTTGGGGGGGTTGGTGGGGGGAAAACTGCCCGTGAGCCAGCACCGTGCGCTCACAGCCCAGAACCCACCCGTGCCCTGGGCTGCAGCCAGAGCAGGGGGGGCAGCAGGGCCAGGGAGGGGATTCTCCCCCTCTGCTCCGCTCTGGGGAGACCCCCCTGCAGTGCTGGGGCCAGCTCGGGGGCCCCCAACAGCAGAAGGACACGGAGCTGCTCGAGCGGGGCCAGAGGAGGCCACGAAGATGCTGGGGGGGCTGGAGCAGCTCCCCTGGGAGGCCGGGCTGAGAGAGTTGGGGGGGTTCAGCCTGGAGAAGAGAAGGCTCCGGGGAGACCTTCGAGCAGCCTCCCAGGGCTTAAAGGGGGGACAGGAAAGGTGGGGAGGGGCTCTGGGTCAGGGGGTGGGGATAG